GTGGTAGGAGAAATTCTTGATGTCATGTAACAGCAGATTCTCTTTGTCATTATGATATGATAGAACAGATGTTCAGTTGAAGAATAAGGACTTAGGAGAAAATTCCATTCTAAGCTGACTGCTTGGATCTTGAACAACACCTAAATTGTCCAGTGTGAATGAGAAATACCTTATTTGTGCATTTGACTCTTTACTTCCTCTCCTTCCCTATCAGGAGAGTGACTAAGGAAAGGGATTAGAAATAAAAATACACTAAATACTTGTCACTGCTGACAGAATAAGCAATTCTGAGTAATAAAAAAAAAAAAAGTGGAAGTTGGTAGATCTGAAAGGCACATTTTCAAATCCTAACTCTGCAGGTACTGGTTATGAAAACTGATAAGGTACAAATGCTGTCAGTTGCCTTTTGACTGAACCAGAGTTCTGAATGACAGAATCAGCTAGGTTGGAGAAGACCTCTGAGACAATGAAGTCCTACCTTTGACCCAACACCACCTTGTCTACTAGACTGTGGCACTAAGTGCCAGATCCAGTCTTTCCTTAAACACCTCCAGGGACAGTGACTCTAGCACCTCCCTGGGCAGCCCATTCCAACACCCAGTCACTCTCTCTGTAAAGAACTTCTTCCTAGTGTCTAACCCAAACCTCTCCTGGCTCAGCTTAAGGCTGTGCCCTCTTGTCCTGTTGCTGGTTGCCTGGGAGAAGAGACCGATGACCACCCGCCTACAAACTCCTTTCAGGTAATTGTAGAGGGTGATGAGGTCTCCCCTGAGCCTCCTCTTCTCCAGGCTGAAAAACCCCAGCTCCCTCAGCTGCATCTCAAAGGACTTGTGCTCCAGACCTTTCACCAATCTTGTTGCCCTTCTTTGGTTTGCACCTGGATCAAAACTGAAGAGTTGAATGTTTGTGGCATATATGCATGTAAAGTGAGATACTTAGACCTAATGTTTGATTTATGTCTTGAAATCATACAGGAGAGCAGTACTCTTCTTGTCAGACTTTTTGGCAAAAAGTACTTTTTTTTCTTCATTGTTTCATATGTTTAGGCAAATCACTTAGTTATATTATATTTTTTCTGTGGATTTATAAAACAAGGAATGGGAAGAATTAAAAGATGCTTGACCTGCACATGTGATATTAGGCAAACTAAATTATTGTGTTGTATGCTGCACTGCAGGTTTTCAAGAAAGAAACATAGAAGATGCTAGCACACAAAATAGAGGGTCTAAAGGATTACGTGGTGGCTTTGGACAAGGTAAGAGTAAGTTTTTTGTATTGACTAGTTTGTATGGAAACACTGTACATACTGCCATTCTTTCTGGGTTTGCTTGCTCCCTGAGAACTGCCAGTACAAGGGTGAGTGCTGTGAAATGGCTTCTGTTCTTCATCCAGGTTAAAGGCTCTTGATCTGCACATGCAGAATTGGGCATACTGAGTTGTTGTTTGCTGTGCTGTACTCCAGGTTTTCAAAGAAGAAATGCTGCAGAAGGTTCTAGTATGCATACAAAAAATAAAGGGTTTAAAGGATTTCATGGTGACTTTGGACGATGTGAGAGTAAGTGTGAGGTGTTTTTTAAATTAACTGGTTTGTATGGGAACAGCATGCAATTGGCCATTCTTTCTGGGTTTGCTTGCTCTGTGAGAACTACCAGTACAAGGGTGAAAGCTACAAAATGGCTTCTGTTCTTCAACTGTGTTTGTGGCTATGTTGTGGAAGAGGAATGGCGTCTTTAGGAAAACGGTATCACTGAGTATAATACAGTATAGGTTGGAGTTAACAAAGAATCTTTTGGGACTGTTGCACTGCAGATTTCTTGGAGTACATATTACTAGCTTTAATTGTAGTATTTCCTTATACTAATTTTATACTCTATATCTACTACACTGTCTAGATGGGCAGAGGAACATGTCTCAGTCTGGAATTCTTGACTCTGCAGTAAAAGGAACATTTACAGGTGGTGCAGGTAAGACTTTTTAATATTTAGGGGTGAACCCTTCAGATTTGTTCAGTGGTGATTTGTGGCAATGCTGTTCCTTGTTAGCTTGAATGGGTCTTTGAGCAACCTGATCTAGTGGATGGCACCCTTGCCTGTGGCAGGGGGATTGTAACTAGGTGATCTTTAACGTCCCTTCCAACCCAAACCATCCAATGATTAGAATGCATTTTCAGCAGTGCTTCTTAATATTTGAAGAATAATTGATTTACCCCTATGTGAGTTAGTTCAAGCTAAGTTTTTCAGATTTTTAGTTCAGATAATGATTTTTAGGAAGTGTTTACAGAAGCAGTGTGCTAATTCCTCTAGTGGATGTAACTGCATCCTTAACAATGCATTCTTTAAAAAAACAAGTTACTGCTTTACAAAACCAGCATGGTTTATTCTTTCAAAAAATTCCCAACCATTTCTGCATCTTTTGGATTGATGCCCACTATGGTAGGTTTGTTTGACTGTGCAGATGGCAACACTTTGTGCAGAGAAATGATGATGAGAAATTCTGCTGTAGACTCTCCAACAACAAACTGTATGTAGGGTCTGTAGTATTTATGGATATTTACCTCTAGACAGTTTTTGCAGTGAG